GAGGGGGCGGGGAGAGGGGATGGGGAGAGGGGGTGGGGAGAGGGGGTGGGAGAAGGGTGGGGAGAGGGGGAGTGAATGTTGGTGTGGAGAGGGGAGTGAAGGTTGGTGGGGAGAGTGGAGAGGTGAGTGACTGGCATTGGAGGGAGTGGGGTTGGGGAGAGGCAACATTATTTATGCACATATGCGGTGCACCTGTGGTGGTACCCACTTTGGCAATATTCTTGCTATAGGCGTGCATGTGCAGTTGTGTGATGGCATACATGCCATAGGTGTGCATGTGCAGTTGTGTGATGGCATACATGGAGCCAATAGCGAGAGAGAAGGGCATACATGGAGCCAATAGCGAGAGAGAAGGGCTATATTGCACACTTTCGTAATGAAAACTATAATTACTCCCCTTGATTGAATAGAGATATTATACCTTTCTCCGGACCTAGCTGATGGTGGTGTTTGCTCTGGTGTAGCTGATCTTGGTGTTTGTACTGGCGGAGTAGTAGATACAGGTGTTTGAACTGGTTTGGTGTTTGAACCTCCTCCCAAGGCTGTGGGTAATGCAGGACGTGTGGGCGTACCTAGGGCAAGTATCCGATCGATCACACCGGCAGCGAGAGAACGTTGAGGCGGTGTTGTAGCATCAGATGACGGCCGACGAAAAAAGCCAAAATATCGATGGCGACTGTCGCGCTCATCTTGGCCGACAGGAGTTTGGCCTCCGCTATTACCAGGCGTTTGGTACTTGCCATCCTCTCTTGTAACTTGTAATATCCTTGGTTCAAGATCAGACGCAGACATTTCTTGTTTGACCGGAGCACCGCTCGGGTGAGTACACACAAACCCTGCTGCTTCTCTGAACACACACAATGCATGCACACCCACACACACACACACTCACGCACGCACGCATGTGCGCGCACACACACACACACACACACACACACACACACACACACGCACACGCACACGAACACACACACACACACACACACACACACACACACTTGTACTTGTACTTGTACTTGTTGCTCACTGCCAAAACTGGTCACGTGGGTCTCCCCGGGAGAGGGGAGAGAGACTCAAAAGGAATCTTGGAAAGATGACTCAATTGGCAGTGGCACATATTCACCGAAGGTGCACATGACTAGCCCTGCGGGAAAACAAGTAGGTTTTCTCATTTACGTACATAGTAAATTTGCACTTTACTCTTGACTTGTTGGGCCGTCTCGAACGTTGTATTCCGTAAATTCCACTTCGTTGGGTCACTACTATTGTATACCTTGAAGACCAGTAGTCTATATCGAAAGAAACTCACAAGTTCCAGCGATTAGAGAAACTTCTTTTCCACGCATTTGTATACATTTGTATGCGGAATCGAACAAGTGTCCCCACAGCGCGGCTCACGTGCGCCCATACCATGTATGCAGCATGGGCGCCCGCCATTTTAGATGGATACGTGCCATTGAACCGCCCAACGGCCGACACCCCCTGAAACCCCCAAAACTCTGGGTGGACTTGAAAATGATCCCACTTATGGGCTCACCACACCTCAGTAAGTGGGTGAGGACAAGATGCAGAAAACGGATTGACGGCATCAGGGTATCCGCCCAGGGATCCAACTGCAGTTACCTCTGCCCCCAGTGAAGGTAATACTTGCTACTAGTGTGGGTGGCTGAATCAGAGTGGATCTGATACGAGAGAGCTTGGAAGCTCAGGGCCCTACGCTATGCTTTTTTGCCTTGATGACCTAGACAAAAAAAGCATAGGGATGTTATAAATTCTTTAAAAAATTCCTCTTTTTTAAGACATAACCTGGGATTCGAACCCGCACTATCGCGCCCTGCATGCATCCCCGGTCTTTAAAAAATTCCTTTTTTTTAAGACATAACCTGGGATTCGAACCCGCACTATCGCGCCCTACATGCATTCCCCCATACACTTCGCATTCATACCCATTCTGCCAAGTTGCTTCACGTTCATGATCTTGCATTTGAAAGCCCTATTTGAATATGCATTGTGGCCAGCCGTCTTTGATGGTACGGTACGGTAGGGATAGGTACGGGAGAGGTACGATCGAGGGTAATACGACACCGTCTCCCGTACTGTACCATCAAACACAGCTGGCCACATACAGCTGCCCGCAATATTCAAATAGGGCTTTCAAACGCAAGATCATAACGTGAAGCAACTTGGAAGAATGGGTATGAATGCGAAGTGTATGGGGGAATGCATGCAGGGCGATAGTGCGGGTTCGAATCCCAGGATACAGTATGCCTGAAAAAATAGGAGAATTGAAAAATTTATAACATCCCTATGATTTTTTGCCGTCAGATACGGGATAGCGCCAGGCGTGACACAAACAAACAAACACACAAACAAACACCAAATTAAAGCTGTGTGGACCCTGGCTAGCGCCAGACGTTACTGAAGTAACGTCTTCTGCATAGCTACGGGAATAAGCTTCACTAGCACCATTGATTACACAAGAGTTAATCTAGCCAGAAGCAGTCCATGGTATGTATACTTCAAATAGAAAGTATAATAATATTATGAACCCTGGAACCAACAAAGGTGGCAGGAATTATTACACCTTCAAGCAGCCGAGCCCATTGTCAACAGACCCAACACAATCAGGCATAAGTGCACCCACCAACCGAACTAGCTGGCACACCTCCCCACACCCACACACACCCACACACACCCACACCCACACCCACACACACCCACACACCCACCCATGTACCAGTCACACATACTGTACACCGTTCTCAGTATAAACACAGTATTCATGTAACTACCAGCCAACACACTGTATTCATGTACCTACCAGCCAACACACTGTATTCAAGTACCTACCAGCCAACACACTGTATTCAAGTACCTACCAGCCAACACACTGTATTCAAGTACCTACCAGCCAACACACTGTATTCATGTACCTACCAGCCAACACACTGTATTCATGTACCTACCAGCCAACACACTGTATTCATGTACCTACCAGCCAACACACTGTATTCATGTACCTACCAGCCAACACACTGTATTCATGTACCTACCAGCCAACACACTGTATTCATGTACCTACCAGCCAACACACTGTATTCAAGTACCTACCAGCCAACACACTGTATTCAAGTACCTACCAGCCAACACACTGTATTCATGTACCTACCAGCCAACACACTGTATTCATGTACCTACCAGCCAACACACTGTATTCAAGTACCTACCAGCCAACACACTGTATTCAAGTACCTACCAGCCAACACACTGTATTCATGTACCTACCAGCCAACACACTGTATTCATGTACCTACCAGCCAACACACTGTATTCAAGTACCTACCAGCCAACACACTGTATTCAAGTACCTACCAGCCAACACACTGTATTCATGTAACTACCAGCCAACACACTGTATTCAAGTAACTACCAGCCAACACACTGTATTCATGTACCTACCCAACACACTGTATTCAAGTACCTACCAGCCAACACACTGTATTCAAGTACCTACCAGCCAACACACTGTATTCATGTAACTACCAGCCAACACACTGTATTCAAGTAACTACCAGCCAACACACTGTATTCATGTACCTACCAGCCAACACACTGTATTCATGTACCTACCAGCCAACACACTGTATTCATGTACCTACCAGCCAACACACTGTATTCAAGTAACTACCAGTCACACATAATACTGTACATCATTCTCTTACTGAACAAGCTGATGTTGCAAGTCAGCCCTCACTTGACCCTGTCTCCGCTTTGCTCGAATGTCACGGCTAGCCGTAGCGATATCTCGCCGAACAGACATTAGTGACAGAGTTGCTAGGAGCAGGAAGAGAATTGTCATGCCAAACAGAACAGCGAGCGCCGTGTACTCGGAAACAACTTGTAACTCCGTCTCCTCCAGGATCACATCACCATAGTTCTGTATGCATGCAGTTGTGCCTAGTTTGAGTGTGTCTGTACATTTCAGTTTCTGGGAACATACAAAGCAGACAGCATAACAGAGATAAAAGTATTGAATGTCATTGCATTGAACACCTCAAAGTGAATATATGACGGGTTACTGCTCCTACACTACAGGGCTGAAAAGTAGGGGTTGGATTTCACAGGACTGTCTCTGCATTACATGGCCGGGAATCAGGTGTTTCACGGGACTATTCCTCAACAGCATGGCCTCAAAGCAGTGGTTGGATTTCGCGGTCAAGTCACACATGTAACTGTTCTTCTAAGAGAAACTACAAGTCCCAATAACAGATGATAGTGCATCGGATGGCGGTGGTTGCAGCCTTAGCTGTGATGGTGTAACTGGAGTGTCTCTACAGACCGGAGATCTCTCTGCTCCTGTGACACTCTAGAGCAGAAGAAGAATGCAGGATTTTCTCCTATAAATGGCCAAGACCCCCAAAAAGTTGGATTTTACTTGCAAGTAGCTGCCAGGGCAGATATGAAGACAATACGGATACAAATACTTGAAGTATAATATCCGGACGGAGAGCCGATGATTAATTATGATAAAGAAAAGACCAAGGAGCTACAAGTTATGTTATAATATCCACTGACACCAACAGTTACTAGACAATAAGCTAATGCGATAACATTGCACTAAACTGACCGGCAACAGTACTGATGTTCTCATCTTCCCTAGCTCCTATGTTTTCATATAACGTAGAACCTTCCAAGTTGGAAGGCTGCTGGGATGCGCAACCAAGACGTGCTAGAGCTGATAGCCAGTTAGTTGTAGAACGTCAGTACTGTCGATCAGTTTAGTGCAATGTAATCGCATGAGCTGATTGTCAAGTAACTGATGGTGTTAGTGGACATTACAGCGAAACTTGTAGTTCCTTGGTCCTTTTCTTTACTATAGGCATAATATTTTTTTGGCATTTTGAACGGTCTCTGTTGGAGTGACAGCTACAGCAAAGCTTGGTGGTTAGAGTATCGCTGGCCTAGAGAGAATGCCCCTGGTTTGAGTCCTGGTGTCGATAGTCAATTTTTCTTCAGACTTATTCCCATTTTCCCTTTTTCATTCCCTCAACTAATTCCCATTATTTTTGCAATCCACATTACCTGTCCGGCCAACAGAGTGTTCATTTCTCCCGCAAATCCGTAGAACATAGGGTTGATGAAGACTATCCACTTCAGTGCCCAATGCATCTTGCAAAGCGGGAACAGGAATCCTTCAAAGAATGCTGATAGAGCTGTCAGAAGATGTATGCATGCTTCCGAGAACTCAGGGGACAAACACACTACGAATATGATCTAAGATCCACAGAAACATGCAAACACGCACACATATGCATATACACAAACATGGAGACACGCATACACCGGCACATACACAAACATGCAGACACGCACACGTACACACATACACATACACACAAATACAGTCATACATGCACACAGACCCAAACAAACATTACCCACTTTTACATACAAAACATGCACACGCGCACATCGTGAACACACACGGATTCATGCACACATAGACTTGGAAGTAGGGAGGAAATAGCAGAGTGCAATTTGGCAAATACCAGTATTACGCCCCAGTTCTTTGATTGGTTGAGTGAGCATGACATCTTGGAATATTTCCACGACAGCCATGGTTATTGCAATGCCAGCTCGGATTGTGCATTATAGACACTACAAGTCATCAGGCCATGGACAGCTGTCTGATGAGTGCTTTTGCACGAAACTCGGAGTAACAACAATTTTCTTGACAGTCCATCATTTCATGACTTGTGTGTCATTGCTCCATCTTTGGTGTTGATCACCCTTTTTTCAGCTGTGGAACCTCATCTTACTCTGAGTATCATGGACACATTGAGGTGTTCCATCTGCTCAAACAAGACATGCACACGATGACTGCCCATTCATTAGTTATGAGGACAAGCAAAATATTTCTGCTCATATCTATGCGTTTTTACAGTGGAGTGCAAAAGATCTCTACCACCTGTTTCTTCAGCAACACATACGAGGTGCAGTTTTCCTTGGTGAAATCTGACCCGAAGTGCAAACCTGGCACCCTAAACCCTAGACTAGTTCAGACTGCAGCATTGTATGTGTACATGTGTTCGTCCAGCTGTTTTCGTGCCATTTCCAGGCGTCAAGAGCCGTGTAAGTTGAGGGCGACAAATACCGTAAAGTCGCGGATAAAAGCCGGGCTTATAAGCATATAAGCCGCTTTCTGCATCAGGCTTGTATGCAAACCATGCTTATATGCACCACTGATATTTTTGCCAGGCTTGTATGCACATCGGCACGCGTAGATCTACCACTGACTACCGGTGTGGCGGCAGTTTTACTATGCACCGTGCATAGCACATGCACTCTTGACCTACCCGATCCGCGCTTGCATAGAAGCCAGGCTTCTACGCGCGACAGGCTTATATGCATTTGACCCATTTGATTTTCAGGCTTCTATCCGCGATGTGCTTGTATGCAAACCCGGCTTTTATCCGCGACTTTACGGTATGCACTCTGGGTTGGATATCGCTGAGCGCAACTGTAGAAAGTAGTGTTCACATGCTACAGGTGAGCTACATGCTTGCTATGTATGCCTTACCAGTGCCATCTCAGCAGCATTCAACATGAGATTCAGCAGTGCCACCATGGCGTACATCGAGAAAGTCCACGCTTCCACCAACTCTACCACCATGCCGAATATGACAGCCGTGGCGACGAGATACGGCACTGTAGTCAAGGCAACCATATGTATAAACGTGTGCAGTACTAGCTGCCATGAGCTGCACACCCCGTCAGCTTTCTCAAGCTGGAACAGATGTATACAGCGGTTGATGAGCAGAGTGGAAATAGCGGGAGAGATGAAGAGAAGACTGGCTGACGAGAACAGACTGAAACCAGCTAGCAAGAGGAAACTCTTGTCTGCTCTCCAGTAGGCAATACCTGGTATCACATTGGCAAACAACATAAACACATGTTACTTCTCTGCGGTTGACGCCACAGTACAAGAATTAGCAGAGAAGTAGTGTTCTCTGTCCACCCGGGAACGGGTACGAGGGAGCACGGTGTGGGATAAAAGGAGGTGACGAGTGCAGGGTCGGCCTCTTTTGTCTTTGTGCGGAGAGCTGAGTGAAATGTATCCATTGGTTTGAGGGAAGATGCAAATGGGGAAAATCTGAAGAAAAGTTGACTGTCAACACTGGAACTCGAACCAGGGACTTTTGCTTGAGACCAGTAGTGCTTTTTAACCACTGAGCTATGGTGTAGATGTCATCCCAGTAGAGACCATTCAACAGGAGTGGCAAGGAGAGACACAGGCAGGCCAACAGACAGACAGACTAGCACACACACACACACACACACACACACACACACACACACACACACACAGACACACGCACAAAACCAAAGACAGACGAACACACAAACACAAACACGCACACATGCACACAAACACACAAACAAACAAACACTCACTTACCAAGACCAACGGTGTAAGCAATTAGAAACAATGGGATGTATACCAGAGTTTTAATGTCACTCCACGGTTGACGACCCAGTCGACCTTCCAATGCCAAGAACTGACGATCAATGGACGGAGCAAGATCCCTGCGTTCACAACAACAACAACGATGATGATGATGATGATGATGATCACAGCAGAAAAAGCAGCAGTAAAGCGGGAACATTGACAAGAACAAGAAACACGCAACGTGTTCGTTCAGCATCACAGTTCAGCATCACAGTTTCTGAAAAGTCTAGGTCATACATAGAGAAAATATGTTCACATTCGAACAACTAGCAAGGTTCATAGTCTCCAGACGCCCCCCCCCCCCTCCGCCCGCCTGCCTCCCCCCCCCCCCGCCGCCTGCCCTCCCCAACTGCTCCACCCACCTGCCCTCTCCAGTCCCCATCGTCCCTTCCCAATCCAAATGTAATTTTACTACTCAGGTATTTGACCCCCTTCCGATTGCTCAGCAAGCCTACATTGTGCAATGGGAGGTGAGGGGGGGGGGGGGGGGGAGGAGCGGTGGGGGGGGGGCAGTGGGTGTCATTGTACAAACTGACCAGGTTAGCACAGATCTAGATGGCGATGACTCAATTTATGAGAGATGATAATTATGTACCCCAGGGCAGCACAAGTACATTGTCCAAGCTGATTCTTACTCTTGGTCATGTTCCACGGACGTATTCAATTTCTCCTCGGTATCCATGGTGAGATCTTGTCTCAATATGCCGAGTCTTGCGTTGGACTGTACCCGGTCGATACAGAGATGTAATTGCCGTGGGATCGGCGAGCTCTGGTAATGTTCCAGCAACATCTGTTGGTACTTGACATTGCTCAACAGATCCAGAACAACGTCAGCTGGATTTAAGGATTGCTGCAGAACAGGAACATTGGATGTCATGGCAGATTCCATACGATTCAAAGCCGTACATTGTGTATTATTACCATTGGAAACTATGCAGAATTTGAAAATCACATTGTCACGCATCACCTGTTCCTGTCGCCAAACACCACCCACTGTAATACTTATTTACACCTTGCTTGACTAACACAGGATTGAATACCAACTGCAACAAAGGCAAAACCATGCACACGATTGCTCCTGCCTTTCATCACTCACCATATTCTTCTTCCGCAGGATATCCGGAAGCTCCTTGAATGCCGACGCAATGAACGGGGCAGCATACTTTGGCTTGCCATAGAACGCTACCTGCGAGGACAGCAAATCAAAGACAATGATGTCATGATACAGTCATACAAGCGCAATGATGTCATAAAGAGGCTTGTGATGGACAATGATGTCATGATACAGTCATGTGAGTGCAGTGAAGTCATGATGCAGTCATAGGAGTACAGTAAAACCTGTGACTAACGACCACCCCTTGGGGTCAGAGAAAGCGGTCTTTAGTGGCAGGTGGTCATTAGTTAGAGGTTTGCACCGCACAACCATACATGAATGTGAGACCGTCCTTGCCTGGCAAAGTGGCGGTAGTACCAGGCTGGTCGCTAGTCACGATGGTCTTTAGTTACAGGTTTTACTGTACAATGATGTCATGATGTAGTCATGTGAGTGCAGTGATGTCATGATCCAATGATGCGAGCACAATGATGTCATGATACAATCATGCGAGCACAATGATGTCATTATACAGTCATGCAAGCATAATGATGGCATGATGCAATCATGTGAGTACAGTTCTTATAAGATCAAACCATTGTCTCCACATCGATCAACATGCGATCAGTATTTACCTTTCCGGAGCAAAGGAAAAGAATTCTGTCAAACATATGATATATCTCGGGTCTTGGTTGATGGATTGTCAAAATGATTAGTCTTCCTTTCTTTGCCACACTCAGCATGGTGAGCAACTCCAAGGAGCCAGCTGAGTCAAGACCGGATGTTGGTTCATCTAAGAAGACAATACTGGGTTGACTGAGTAGCTGTATAGCAACACATAGTCTACGTTTCTGCATACCCAACACAGCAGAACAGTGTAGAGAAGAGAATAGGCAGAGAGAAGTGCATTCCAGTACATGTGCAGCAGGGAGTCACGTGATTATAGGGAGATGACGTGAGTGCATGGAACATGAATGCTGGTCTGCACTCTGGGACTGCATGTCCAGTCGCCTTTAGGCAGGACCATTTTATTCCCACTCACACTACTTGATAGACATGGTGACATCATAGGTCTTGACTATATTCGCGATCAGCGAGCTACAGCCATGAATGTGCTCGCACTTCAACACATTGTGTACTGACCAGAGCAAGTGGATTATGGTTGGGTGATCTATGGCAGGGTCGAATCCAGGAGGGGTTCCAGCGCTTCCGCGGAACCCCTGAATTTCGTGAATGTGCTACTGGAAACCATACACATGCACATCTATATGTATCAGCTATTCAAACAATAGGAGGACAGAGGAAGTGTTTTTACTCAGAGTTTCACGCACTAAGCGATCATCAGAAAACAGTATCAGCTATTCAGTTTTGACTACTGAACTGGACTCCCCCCCCCCTTTATTAGAGATCGCTGGATCCGCCGCTACACAGCCTACACATTCACTGATGCACTACTGCAAGCTACACAGCCTACACATTCACTGATGCACTACTGGAAGTCGACAAATTTTCGGCCTGTACTGCTGCCGCATGTATACGCTGTCACACTGTACCTTGCAAAACAAAATTTCGGTCGCAACAAATTTTCGGCCAAACATGACTAGGCCGAAAATCAATATGCGCCGAATATTTGTTGACTTACAATAAGTCTGTGTTAAATCTATGATGTGCAGAAATGTCCAATCTGTTGTGTACAGAAATGCTCAATCTATGATATGCAGAAATACCCAAGTTTCTACCTGCACAACGTGTGTCTTTTGGGAGCCAACAAGGCACCAGAGCAACATAGAAATAAAGAAGCATAGAAGTTAATCAGAATGCTGTACACAAGCAGATGATTGTGAGTGAAATCACTTCACTGATCCTTACCTCTCCACCACTGATCACTCCTGTTGGCCGTTCTCTACCATTCTCCTTTGAAGATGCTTTCTGCAAACCAACCTCCTCAATGACACGTTCAACACGCTCATATACCTACAGAACGAGAAGATTTTTTTATAAGTTTAAAGTTACCATGGGAGAAAGGATATACGGCGATCATCGTTCCCATGGGGAAATTGATTCAGGCAATGTTGTTACTATGACAACACGAATACACAGGCAAGAGTGATACCCAGGGATGATAAGCCCATTAAGCATTGCCAAATATGGATTTTATGAGTGATGCGCATGTCAGTGCACTGGGATGAAAGGATGGAAGAACCGGATGGGACACAGACACATGAAATGAATGGGGAGAGGAGTGTGCAAGGGGGGTGAGGAGGAATAGTGAACAATGCTAGGATGGATGAGAGTTGAAGTGCGATAGTGAGCACATGAACATTCCAATGCTTTCCCCCCAGAATTCTTGGATTCTACGTACATGTTCCATTGTGTCCGATGTCTTCAGTCTCATGAGTGCACAGTAGAGCAGGTTCTCTCTGACCGTCAGTTCATCATAGTACGGCGATGCTAGCTGTAGCGTGTATCCAAGATTAGCTTGATACTGAGTACGCACATGCTTCAAGTCATAACCTCTCACCAATACTTCACCCTGGTTTAGTATTGAGTACACAACCACACACACACACACAGAGTTAGAGAGAGAGAGAGAGAGAGAGAGAGAGAGAGAGAGAGAGAGAGAGAGAGAGAGAGAGAGAGAGAGAGAGAGAGTTGCCTGATGATCGTAGTAATACGTGAAACTCAGAGTTGTAACAAAGCTTCCAATCTCTCTCTTGTGTAGAGAGAGAGAGAGAGAGAGAGAGAGAGAGAGAGAGAGAGAGAGAGAGAGAGAGAGAGAGAGAGAGAGAGAGAGAGAAAGATAGATAGATAGATAGATAGAGAGAGAGAGAGAGAAAGAGGGAAAGAGAGATAGATAGATATCATCAGATCTGAAGCTCGTAGCCATCAGGTCCACCAGGGCAACAGAGTGCCAGAACCGCTGGGTCACCAGGGCAGCAGGGAAGCCGATATACCATGACAGCAGGGAAAAAAGTGTTGCAAGCAAAAGAGTGAAATTAATGGTCACACCACTACCGATAATTACATGAATGCCGCTGTTTGGATTTAATCATGCAAACTATCGCTAGCCTTGACAAACACGTGCAGTTTAGGCTTACCTCTATATCTCTAGACTTTGAGCGTCCCGTAAGCAGGTTGAGAAAGGTTGTTTTGCCACTACCTGAGGGTCCCATGATAGCAATCATACGACCACAGTCATTCTTGAAATGCATTGTAATGTTCTGTAGTAATGGCCTCTTCTCTGTATCCAGCAACAACAACAGCACAGCAGACATATTCCAATTTCAAATCGTGTTTTTCACTCAGTCAAGGGAGAGAGAGAGAGAGATTGGGAGAGAGAGAGATTGGGAGAGAGAGAGAGAGAGAGAGAGAGAGAGTGGAAGAGAGATAGAGGAATTTCTCCATGTCACAGGCTGGGGTACACAATAATTTCCAATCAACAATACGCTCAGCTATTGCCGTTTTAATGATGTAACGATGCAAAAAACGTTGAAAGTCATCTTTTCTCATTTTGATGTGCAGAAACTAGATCTATATTGCACTAAGGCCTATCACAGAAACTAGATCTATATTGCACTAAGGCCTATCACTGAAACTAGATCTATATTGCACTAAGGCCTATCACAGAAACTAGATCTATATTGCACTAAGGCCTATCACAGAAACTAGATCTATATTGCACTAAGGCCTATCACAGAAACTAGATCTATATTGCACTAAGGCCTATCACAGAAACTAGATCTATATTGCACTAAGGCCTATCACAGAAACTAGATCTATATTGCACTAAGGCCTATCACAGAAACTAGATCTATATTGCACTAAGGCCTATCACAGAAACTAGATCTATATTGCACTAAGGCCTATCACAGAAACTAGATCTATATTGCACTAAGGCCTATCACAGAAACTAGATCTATATTGCACTAAGGCCTATCACAGAAACTAGATCTATATTGCACTAAGGCCTATCACAGAAACTAGATCTATATTGCACTAAGGCCTATCACAGAAACTAGATCTATATTGCACTAAGGCCTATCACAGAAACTAGATCTATATTGCACTAAGGCCTATCACAGAAACTAGATCTATATTGCACTAAGGCCTATCACAGAAACTAGATCTATATTGCACTAAGGCCTATCACAGAAACTAGATCTATATTGCACTAAGGCCTATCACAGAAACTAGATCTATATTGCACTAAGGCCTATCACAGAAACTAGATCTATATTGCACTAAGGCCTATCACAGAAACTAGATCTATATTGCACTAAGGCCTATCACAGAAACTAGATCTATATTGCACTAAGGCCTATCACAGAAACTAGATCTATATTGCACTAAGGCCTATCACAGAAACTAGATCTATATTGCACTAAGGCCTATCACAGAAACTAGATCTATATTGCACTAAGGCCTATCACAGAAACTAGATCTATATTGCACTAAGGCCTATCACAGAAACTAGATCTATATTGCACTAAGGCCTATCACAGAAACTAGATCTATATTGCACTAAGGCCTATCACAGAAACTAGATCTATATTGCACTAAGGCCTATCACAGAAACTAGATCTATATTGCACTAAGGCCTATCACAGAGTTTTAAATTACATTACATGACTCCGCCGAGCATCTTCAGCATTCTAGCATCTTGTGTATGAAGATGGCAAAGATGAGATAGTCCTCACCAATCTGTTGAAGCTGCAAGTAGTGTTAATTGAAGTACTTCATACTTATCCTATAATTGCGAAGGCAAAATGTACCTTTTACGCTTTGCTAGTATTCTTTCACTCAGTGATATACATGGCATGGCGGTACTTTCGCAGTAATTACCTTTCATTGTTGGGCGCAGGAGTCGTGAAAGTCTGTCATGCCCAGGGATGATTGTTTTGCGGCTGCGGGCTGGGGCACCATGGGTTGCTTGGAAAGAGCCGTGTGTATGTTTGTCACTGAAAAACATCTTGCCATCATCAGTGTGTAGTTGCTCTTCACTATCCTCCTCTCCATTCTCTTCAGCTGATACGGGAATCTAAAGTCAGGGATTGAATGAGTTTCAGCACAGTAATATAGGACACAGCAGCAGCAGCAGCAAAAGCAGAAGCAGACACATGTAGCAGCAGCATTACCAGCATCAGCAGCAACAGCAGCAACAGCAGCAACAGCAGCATGAGCGGTGACAGCAACAACACCAGTAGCAATGCGGCAGCAAGGGGGGGGGGGGATATTAGCAGTGGCAATGGTGGTAGCAGTAACAACATGACCCCGTGTCACATGACCCCGTATCACATGACCCCGTATCACATGTCCTTTCCTCACATGACCCAGTAGAGAGGTTGCACACTACGAAAATTCGTAACACCGTAACGGAAAATTTGAACGAAAAAGCTAACGAATCTTCGTAAACCGTGAGGTTGCGCACAACCCGTAAGCTTTCTCGTACGAGTAGTGAGTCAACCACACGGCGCGGGTGCGAAAAGTTAAGACAGGGAGTTGTAAAATATCAGTGTTTTAGTAATCCACATAACGACAAACATATTCGTGGATCTGTTCTGTTTCGGTCGCGTTTGGACGGATCTTCGTAGCAACTTTCGTTCCTCGAACCCGGACGTGATGTGATGGTAGTGGAACCCCAGGAACCAGTACAGACTATTTCTGGTGTGGTGGTAGTAGGACCCCAGGGACCAGTACAAGCCGATAGTGGTAATACTAGTAGTTGCTCACCTTGATATTGAAATTCACTTCTCTACAAGAGACGCTGACATTGACATTGCGGCCCGGCAATCCAGCTGCAATCTTCAGTTTTTGCTGACTTCGGTTAAGATCAAGTCCACACAGTCTCCCACAAAACTTGTCATAATTTTGTTGTATGACGAGAACACGAAGCATGAAGTACACCTGGACAGTAGATTAGAAAAAAATAAAGAAAAAGCCCATTGCGCAATGCTATCATTTGTACCACGAACACCACACACAGCCACCTGGGCATGGTCGCCCGGGGTGTTGAACAGTGCATCCCAAATCCCAGCGTACTCTCTCTCTCTCTCTCTCTCTCTCTCACACACACACACACACACTACTCTTGGAATCATTTTGGCAATGCACGATGGGTTTATCGTGTGCAAAGAGAAGACTTCGTGTTACCATGGTTACTGGCCAGCGGGCTGGACCGACAGGATTTGAAAGGTTGTCCATATATTGAGCATGATTTGTTAACGGCATCTTGTGTTTACGACTAGCTGCCTAGTTTCCAACCTTGAAGCCCAGCAGGAGGAAATTGTATGGAGGAAAATGTGAGGACGGGAGAGAGAGGGGGGAGGGGATGCGGGAGGAGAGGAATGGGAGGGGATGGGAGACAAAGGGAGAGAGAGAGATAGGTAGATAGATAGAGCGAGAGAGAGAGAGCAGAGAGAGATAGATAGATAGAGAGAGAGAGAGAGAGAGAGAGAGAGAGAGAGAGAGAGAGAGAGAGGAGAGAGAGAGAGAGAGAGAGAGAGAGCAGAGTAGAGCAGACCGAGGAGGTCAAGATAGATGGATAGATCATATACACACAGCAGGGTGTAGTGAGGGAAGATATGGAGATAGATAGACAGTAGTGTGTAGTGAGGGAAGATATGGAGATAGATAGACGACAGTATGCAGTGAGTGTGCCACAAGCGCTCAGGTACCACACAAGCAGAGCGTATGGTTCCACTGGTTAACAGAGATGTTACTCTCATGCCAGGCCGTCTGTTTGTTTTCTCTCCAAAACACACTCTATGCAAAGGAGGCAAGAGAGACAGATGACGATCTTTCGGCACATAACAAGCACCGTCCAACTCCAGGACAAAACAATCACCTTCCAACTCCAAGGATTTCAGCACAAAACCAGCACCTTTCAACTCCAAGAGTTTCAGGGACAAAACCAGCAGCTTGCAGCTCCAAGGGCAAGGGTTTCAGAACAGTTATATAAAATGCGAGCAGGCAATGCTATTTTTAACGCCATACCTTTATCACACAGCATACCACAATCATCAGGGTAGTGATGACGATGATAAATGCCTTGACTCCCGTTGGCCATTGCTCTCCAGAGTTCTTGTCAGCAGCTTTTAGACCACTTGGACAGGTGGGGTTACAGTCGAAAGCCGTGCATCCATCCACATACTTTCTACCAGTAGATGAAACCACAGGAGAGTGAGAGGTCAGACTTGATCCTTGTATCCAGTGTGTGATGGCTGCACGTACAGTAAAGCCATAGTCCACTGGCTTGTTGCTGCTTGTCTGAATGAGAGCAAGAAATAGAATAATACAGAATACGTGTACTCAGAAAATGCAGCATTCCCAATACTCAAACAATTCATTTTGTACTAGCAAACACAGCCCCACAGATAATCAGGAAGCATACACAACACTCAGACAATGTGCTCTACATGATTGTGTACCCAGACAATGTGCTCTACATGATTGTGTACCCAGACAATGTGCTCTACATGATTGTGTACCCAGACAATGTGCTCAACATGATTCGTCAGGCAAAAAGCACGTCATAGTACATTTAAAGATCAGCGGGAAGAAGATGACGACGTCCACTAATTTAGTATCTGTGCACACGAATCTGCTGTGTGTGTGACTCTGTGTGTCAGCTATGATATCATCTTCTGTGGTTCCATGCCTAGCATGTACGTCTGAACCATCCTGCAAAGTTTGAATGATGTAGGTTGAGCGATTGCTCCGCGAAACATACTTTTTGAAATTCTCTTCATAGTATATCTTCCACCATTGAAATTTCGAATTTCTTCAAAAAAAAGTGCTGAGAGGGGTGGCTTGCAACCTCGATATGGCTTGTTCCAGGCATGCTTTGGAGCCATCTTCTGTTGAAGTAGTGGCGGGGATCTGCCCTGCAACTGCTACAACAAAGAATGATTCGATCTGAGAAAGGGTGAGACCGCGAATCTCGGTTGAATATTGAGTATTTCAAGCCTTTTCACGACGAAGATGGAGTTCTTTTTGGAGATGGACGTCGCGGCAAAGGACATGGTGTCCGACTTCTGGCGTCTGGTGAAGCCAGGGATCATTTGTCCAGTCAGGTCGGCAGCCTAACCGTCGGTAAGCTTGTGTTTGGATCCCGTTCTGCTCGATGTGTTAGATCACAAACAATTTGATATCGCACAAATTGATCTCAGCATCGTGCGTACGGTATTTTATATTCAGAAAATCCCAAAGTGTCTCTGTGTGGCCGTCCTATGCCACGAGAAACTCCAATCAGGCTCCTATGTCCTCTGCCTTCATGATTGAATGTCCAATTCGTTTGAACAACAAACACAACAATCGAGGACGGCTTTGCAATGAAAAATACGGCTATACTGGAGCTGAAAAAAAGAAGAAAAAACGTGCTCAGGATGAGGCTCGAGTACATGCATACTCTCCCAGCAGGTGAGACGCAAATTTTGTGAAAAAATGCGTGTCGCCGACTGACCAGTAATTTCGCCTGACGGTGTACTCAGACCATGTGCTCAACATGATTGTGTACTCAGACCATGTGCTCAACATGATTGTGTACTCAGACAATGTGCTCTACATGATTGTGTACCCAGACAATGTGCTCAACATGATTGTGTACTCAGACAATGTGCTCTACATGATTGTGTACTCAGACAATGTGCTCTACATGATTGTGTACCCAGACAATGTGCTCTACATGATTGTGTATGTGCTCTACATGATTGTGTACCCAGACAATGTGCGCTACATGATTGTGTACTCAGACCGTGAATGTGCTCTACATGATTGTGTACCCAGACAATGTGCTCTACATGATTGTGTACTCAGACAATGTGCTCTACATGATTGTGTACTCAGACAATGTGCTCTACATGATTGTGTACCCAGACAATGTGCTCAACATGATTGTG